GCCTGGGAGAGGGCCAAGAGGACCCTGTCTTCCAGCACGCAGGCCAGCCTGGAGATCGACTCCCTGTTCGAGGGCATCGACTTCTACACGTCCATCACCAGGGCGCGGTTCGAGGAGCTGTGCTCGGACCTGTTCCGGGGCACGCTGGAGCCGGTGGAGAAGGCCCTGCGTGACGCCAAGCTGGACAAGGCCCAGATCCACGACCTGGTGCTGGTGGGGGGCTCCACCCGCATCCCCAAGGTGCAGAAGCTGCTGCAGGACTTCTTCAACGGGCGCGACCTCAACAAGAGCATCAACCCGGACGAGGCGGTGGCCTACGGGGCGGCAGTGCAGGCGGCCATCCTGATGGGGGACAAGTCTGAGAACGTGCAGGACCTGCTGCTGCTGGACGTGGCGCCCCTGTCGCTGGGCCTGGAGACAGCCGGGGGCGTGATGACGGCCCTGATCAAGCGCAACTCCACCATCCCCACCAAGCAGACGCAGATCTTCACCACCTACTCGGACAACCAGCCGGGGGTGCTGATCCAGGTGTTCGAGGGCGAGAGGGCCATGACGAGGGACAACAACCTGCTGGGGCGCTTCGAGCTGAGCGGCATCCCACCGGCCCCCAGGGGCGTGCCCCAGATCGAGGTGACCTTCGACATCGACGCCAATGGCATCCTGAACGTCACCGCCATGGACAAGAGCACCGGCAAGGCCAACAAGATCACCATCACCAATGACAAGGGCCGCCTGAGCAAGGAGGACATCGAGCGCATGGTGCAGGAGGCTGAGAGGTACAAAGCCGAGGACGAGGTCCAGCGCGAGAGGGTGTCTGCCAAGAACGCCCTGGAGTCCTATGCCTTCAACATGAAGAGCGCCGTGGAGGACGAGGGCCTCAAAGGCAAGATCAGCGAGGCCGACAAGAAGAAGGTGCTCGACAAGTGCCAGGAGGTGATTTCCTGGCTGGACTCCAACACGCTGGCGGAAAAGGAGGAGTTTGAGCACAAGAGGAAGGAGCTGGAGCAGGGGTGGAACCCCAAAAT